GTAGTACCTTTCAGAGTCGGCTGCAGCTGCTAACACAGTGTCAGTGATGTTAAACTCAGTGCAGGGTCAATGGGCTTTGATCTAGGTCTTCTGAAACAAGTGCAAACACTTTTGGACCAAAACAAAACACAGAATAGGAACACTTGGCGGAAAGGTAGATTTGAGAGATACAAGGCTTTTATAGAGACAAAAAGAACGCAGGGCTTCAGTTTTCATGTATTAAAGAGAAGAGGACATACAATAGGGCCATAAATGCCTACAGCTGCCGCTTTCCACTCACCTGTGAAGGACCAACCACTCATCACTTACAAATCCAGATCACGATACAGCAAGGACAGCAAGCTTGAATTTTTTTTCCCCGCAATGGGAGCAACTATGGGATTTGAGCGATTTTGCGTTTAAATAGAGTACAGAGCCAACCCAACCTAGAGGACAGTGCAGTAACTCCAGGCCTGCAGCTGGGTGGACTCTCTCTCCGGCTAACAGCCTGACAGAACCCTGCCTTTTCTGCCGGCGTGCACACCCCACGAGGAGCCGACACGTGACGGCAGGAGAGGACGGCCGGAATTTAACCAAAATAAAAATGCGACTGTAGGAAGAGGCCGTGTGGAGGAAGTGGCCGCTGGTGAAGCTGCACTCCGCGAGGTTTAATTTCTGCACTGCTGCCACTACTCAGCAGCCTTGTAAGACAGGAGGCAGCAGTTGTAATAAACAGTGCGTTTTCTGCATCACCACTGCCATCGCCAATGCAATGCTGCCTGAGTCTTCCCTACAGGCCCTTGTAAGAGGTCAGGTGTCCAGTGATGTCTGATTGGCCACCTGTGTGAAGCCGTGTTTCACAGACTGGAGACCCCAGAGCACTAAGACACTACCGTGCATGTGTCCGACAGATCACCAATGTCACAAGCATTTAGCACGTTCTCCCACATATCCCACCTCAGGAATGCCTTCCATCTCTTGTGAGACACTTCCAGCACTACTAATGGCCTGATCCCAACACATGCTTAGTCAAAGAACACAGAAGTTGAGCCCTTGAAAAACGCCTTTACCACTGTGCACAGCATGTTTTAAAACATGCAAATCAGACTTTTTTTTTAGGACGTGAGTCTCTGCAGATGTGGTTATACTGCTGAATCAGAAACCGACAGCAGAAAACAGACCACTTAGGGAAGTCCTCATGGTCCCAGTGTCCCTCAGTTTTTGCTCCAAGTTCTTGACTGTTTAATTGGCCCCAGGTTGAAAAGCTAATCTCCTATTTTGACTTGTTTAAATTGTTTTCAGTTCTGTGACTGTAAGGGCTTTTGCACTGCTCTACAGATATTTGTAACTCAAAAGCTTATTTTTTTACAAGCAGAAGCCAATGAAGAAGGTCCCCATTAAATGATATTATTACAGGTTCCAGTGGGGGGGGGGGGTAGAAAGGAGAACTGTGGCTGGTGAGCCTTGTTCTGCCACTTGAAGACTCAACAGCTGAAATATGTTTCTTCTTTGAACTTTTCAGTGTGGAACGAACCTCTGTTTGGTCCTTTTTAAGCTATTATTAGTTCAATAAAGGGCTAGATTAAGCCGCCGAGAGTCCAGCAGGAAAGATCTAGGGTAAATACTGGGGATTAAAGAACTCAGACTGGACCTTTGACATTGGCCTCACACTGGTTGTCCACAGTTGCCCTCAAGGATTCGGACAGAGGCCCAGATCTAACTCGGCCATGACAACCACAACCAGCAGGCCCCAGCTCTGTTGACGTGGTACATAATGCAGCTTTGAAAACTATATTAAAGAGCTAAATCGTTGAGGTCCCTTTTTATGCCCTTTTACGAGCTGCAAAATAACAGCGGATGCAAGCAGGCGATTTTTCCTCCTCCAGAACCGATCCCAAGAAAGGGCTTCCCCAGGAGGGAGAGAAATGAGACCCGTTTTAAAACGCTCAGAGGAAGTCTAAAATCAGCATCCTGCAGGGAAAGAGTTCTGTTACAGCTTCGCCACATTGTTCCCACGTGCACAATCTCAGCATGGAGGCAAAGTGGTCAGGCCGACACGCTAACTTTGACCCAGCCACCGGCCGCAAGCAGCACACCAGTGGGCTCCTCCTCCTGCCCACTGGAGACCCAGAAGCCGGTGCCGGGTCAGTAGTGTGCGAGTGGCGGTCGTGACCAAGCGGGAGAGAGTGCGAAGGCTTTCAGACCTGCTCGTTGAGTTTGGGGTGCGAGAGGCCCTGGTGAATCAGCAGCCTGACGATCTGCTGGTCCCCCTTCCAGGCGGCCAGGTGGAGAGGGTAGCAGCCCTTGTTGTCGGCGATGTTCGTCAGGGCCTCGTTCCGCAGGAGAGCCTCCACGACCTCACTGGGGAGACAGCAGGGGTGGGGTGGGGGGGGAACAGTTACACTCCTGCGCTCCGGGCTGCGCAGCACCCAGATCTGAGATACCACCTCATCCCGCAGATCCCTGCCCGTCGTGCAGCAGGGACAACAGGACGCAGAAAAGGTCGTAACCGAGAGGCATTCCGAGCCTTCGGATGTATGTGGATTATGGACTGAAGAACTGCAATGAGATTCTAGAGGAGACAAGCCTGCAGCTGCTGCAACAACTTACGGTGGCAGACCTGCAGGAGGCGCCCTTCCTTCTTCAACAGATGTATAAAATGTATGCCCTGTTACAGCAGCTGGGGACATCGTGCTATGGACAGGGCCTCTACCAGTTAACAGTATGGCTCAGCTGCATTTTGGTATTTATAGATCTGAGCTTGCTATCAGGAGAGCTGTCCCCTGTGTGCTGGCTAAATCTGAACAGGAGTTTTCTCAATCTGTCCTACATAAATCTGTTCTTGCATTTAAAACTGGCAAAGTCACTACAAACTCTGCCACCCCTTATAATAAGTGTATGAGCTGGAGGCACAAAAAGGGGCAGTTTTCTCCCCTCCAGAGGGGACTGTACTTCTCTCCTGTCTCCAGATACAAACAGAGATCCTTCTGGGTGCAAGATGCAATAGATTTGCAAAGTGCAACTGCGGCAGCTAAGCGACATCGGCTCTTCACAGATGGAGGAGTACTGACGTTTGCTCCAGTTCCCGCCACAGGAAGCCAATCAAGAGGTCTTATTCCACCAGATAAGTCAACTGGAAAAACATTTTAATTTAAAAAGCGACGATCTGGCTAGGCAGCTAGATCTACTGCGTCAGCCCACACAGATGACAACACAGCATCATCACATCGAGGATCAATCAAGATCGCTCAGAAAACGCACAATCGCAGAGCGCTTTGAGAGATGACCGCCAGCCCTGCCCGTAAAATTGTGCTCAGAAAGCACGTGACCCAATTTTAACTTCAGCCCTAAGCTATTCAAATCACTGGCAGCCACAAAGTGCAAAGAGGGAGCTGATCTGAGACTAAGACTGACCACAGGAACCTTCTACACTTCCTCTATCTGGGGGGTGGGGTGGGGGGACGACAAGTCTGCTCTGCCCATAAGCAGACTAACACTGAGCACCAAGCTGGTCTCAGGACGCCCAGCAAGAGCAGTGAACGTGCTATCTTCGAATGAGGCCAGCTGAATGACTCTTCTAAGTGTTCAAATGTGAGGTTTACGATAGCCGAATTCTGCCCTCCATCAGGGTTTTTAATGACAAGAGTCTGAACCTCATGCAGGTATGGAAAGACACAAGAGACTAAAGGCTTTAAAGCTGTCGCTAACACGACACAAACACAGCAGCACAGAAAACATGCTCAAACAAATGACTGTCAGATCGTATAAACCTAGGCCACTGCAGTACAGATAGATCATAAATTCCACAATTCATCGTGAAAAATACATCAATAAGTGGTTTAGGATATTAATGATTAGACTTTGATGGTATTTTACTAGAACAATAGGTGTATCTTCTCCTTCTGTGAAAGCCAACCTAGTGTCTGAGCACACGTTGGCTCTTCAGGAGGTTTGACGTGCTCCAGACAGAGAACGACACAAGAGGAACGCGCGGAGCTCACCTGTGTCCGTTGAGGGCGGCGTGATGTAGGGGGGTGTATCCCGTACTGTCCACACAGTTGACATTGGGGCCCCTCCAGATGCTGCAAAGACAGACCACATGGTTACTTAACAGACCCCGCGTTGCTGGACGGCCCCGGGAAGATGGGCACAGGGGTTCCCTGAATTGAGAACAGCCAGGAAAGGTAACAGGAGAGTCTCAGTGCCTGACGGGAGAAGCAATTTGGACCCACCGACCCCACCCAGCTCTGTCTGACCCCTCCCAGTTACCACAGTTTATTAATGCCATCCAGAAGTTTCTAGCTGCTTCTTGCATTTCAGAGTCGCTAGGCAGCCGGAGCTTATCCTAGCAAGCAATAGGCTCAAGACAGGGTACACCCTGACAGGATACCACTCCATAGCGGGGCAGACACACACATGCCAGAGCCAAATTTTGCCCCAAGCCAACTTAACCTTCCAGTATGTTCTTTAGACTGCGGGAGGAAACCCATATAAAGACCAGGGAGAACATTAAAACTCCACACAGACAGCACCCACAGGTGAGGAATTGAACCCAGGCCCCAGCGCTGCAAGGCAGCAATGCTAACCTCTGCACCTCTGTGCCACCCTTTATCAATGTCTCTCAGAAAAACCATAGCATCAGTCTCCTGAAGGTCCCGGAATGGTAGAGAAGCCTCATTAACTGATCATGCTGCTTGAATCTCCTTTATAACATCCCACAATGTTTATACCAGAGTCCTCTAAAATGAGAAAGACTGGAGTAACTCTTGTAACAAATGCCTTCAGGACTAGTAAAAGCAGGTGAACAAAAACATGCATTTCTCCAGGGATACGGACTTGGACACACAGCAGGAATAAGCGATCCTCCCCTTGCTCTGATCTACAGCTTACTAGAGCTGAGTCTTCAATAAAATCAAACTACTTCACAAACCATACTTATTAGGCACAATTAATCAGTGAATAACCGCTGGGAATGGAGATTGTAAATAAAGTGGAGACATGGGGTACAGAACCTGTTTATCCACTAGTTTCACAATTACGTCAGTTTTATCTCCTGCCACCAAAACGTCAATAAGTCCATTCCTGTTTCCCGTCTGTAGCAGGAGTCACGTGAAATTCCTTGAAAGGCCCCTCTGGGCTAAACTGCTCCCCAGCTACGGCCTACAGCTGCTGAACGACTCTCTCCAGAGCCAGACCGAAGGACCGGACCTCTCCCCAGCGGGGGTCCCGGGGTCAGAGCTGCCTGTCTCCCAGGGGTGTGGGCCTCTGGAGGGGGAATGAGGAAGCTGGGAGCAGGACAGCGAGGCGAGGCGAGGCAAGGCGAGGCGGCGGAGGCAGCGAGACATTCCTGAGCAGTGCGGGGGGCCTTCCCGTCTAACACCGGCCTAGCGGCAAGGACAGCTGCCTGGACCTCAGGCAGTGAGGACTGACCGGGAACCACTAGCACCCGAAAGACACAGCCTGGCTGTTTAATTCACATTCAAACCCCAGAAAGAAGACAGAACTGATCTTTCCTCATCCTGGGATTCCCCCCCCACAAGCTCAGGATTAAGGGGGTTCAGGGGTGACCCTAGAATAACTGCAAGCAACTACCCCTACCCCCCAAGCCCCAAGGGCAGATGTAGGCTGAAGTTTTGGAAAGGCGGAAAACGGTTTGCCCCCTTTCCTCCTTCGAATTTTTCAACCTTTTTATTGTGACGCAAGGTTTAATTATCATGAGGGTCTGCCCACCGGTCCAGCTAATGTCTCCAAGATCAATTAAAACAGAGACACAAAATATTCTGAAGGGATTTGTACACAACTGCTAGATGACGCAGTAAGAATGTTCATTACAGTTATTATCTAGTATTAGTAAAATCTCAGAAATGTATAAAAAATAATTCGAATTCATATATTCCACCATAGGCACAGGTGGACTGAAACAACGACATCACTGTTATTTTTATTTTTATTTTTTTAGAGCTCTGTCATTGTTTTCTTCAAATATTGTGCCCGGCCTGTGCCCAGTGAACAGCAGGAAGCCTCAGTCTGCTGTGCCCAGAGGGGAGAGCCCACCCCTCCCCTCGGTGGGCACTGTGCCAGCGGAAGAGACCCCCCGTCAATCCTAAACCCGGATTAACGCTGTGCAGACAGGGCCCCAAGCCTCTCAGGGACTAACCCCCTCCTCTGCTTCCCAGCAACGTCTGCAGCTCCCCTGGTGCACAGTCACAATGTCGGCAACAGTGCAGCACCCCCCAGAGACCCAGGGCGAGAATACAGCACTGCTCACTCCATCTTTAAAAACTTATTTTAGATGATCTTCTAAAACTGCGACGGATGACTGTTAAGCAGACAGCAATGGCAAATTACAGGCTTTCAATACAATAAATCTCACTTAAAATAGACCAGAGACAGCTATTCGACAGTATTCGGCCTAATTACAGAGCTGAGCCTTTAGAGCAGAGGTTGTTAACTGGGGTGCACACACCCCTGGGAGAGTGAGACCACCCTTCTGAGGGGTGCGAGTCTGGCCAGATAGGTTTAGAAGGTAAATCAGTGAAAAACACAAATTAAGCACAGGCACGCATGTACAATGATGTTGCGTCATCAAATCTTGGTATTTAAGGTAATGTATTCTCAATCTCTTTCCTTCTAAATTTATGATACATCTTAGGCTTAAACAACTGACCTATGTCAACAATTTTCTATCAGGGGTGCGAGAACAGGTTTTGAGGCCCAAGGAAGCACAGGCTGCAGTAAAGGTTAAGAGCCACTGCTTCAGCAGCATGTGGATCACTGGTGTTTTTACATGCTTACAGTCCAGTTCAGCTTCTATTGACCAAAACCATCTAAACCTGGCATAACTGCCCCCATTTCACAGCTTTAAAATGATCTTTTAAAAACAGCAGACACAGTGCCTCTCCACGACCAGCCTGGAACGCCTGGGGCTCACTTTACAAGTTGGTCATTCATGTTAAGACCAGTTTTGTTCTGATTTATTTTTCTTCCTTATCTTTCTAAATTGTACTTTGCCAATATCTTCTTCCTAATGTGTCAAAGGTAAAAAAAACTAATAAAAATAATTGGTTACACTTATATAGAGCTTTTCTGGACACTCCACTCAAAGCGCTTTCCAGGAAATGGGGACTCCCCTCCACCACCACCAGTGTGCAGCCCCACCTGGATGATGCGATGGCAGCCATAGTGACCAGTACCCTCACCACACATCAGCTATCAGTGGGGAGGAGAGCAGAGTGATGAAGCCAGTTCAGAGATGGGGATTATTAGGAGGCCATGACTGGTAAAGGACAATGGGAAATTTGGCCAGGATGACGGGGTTACACCCCTACACTTTTCGAGAAACGTCCTGGGATTTTTAATGACCACAGAGAGTCAGGATCTCGGTTTTGCATCTCATCCGAAGGAGCTACATACTGCTGCATACTTTTACATACTGCTGGGTGAGTGCCTCCTACTGGCCCACCAACACCTCTTCCAGCAGCAATCGTAGTTTATCCCAGGAGGTCTCCTATCCAGGTACTGACGAAGCTCAGACCTGCTGAGCTTCAGTGAGTTTCCAGTTGTGAGCTGCAGGGTGATATAATTGCTGGCTGATTGGAAAGCAGACAAAACAGCCTGCTGTGAGTAATAAGGCTTAAAAAGTTTCTGTCTCAGCAGTCATTACATTTAATAATTAACTTAATAATCAAATAATTTAGCCCTGTGCCCAGTGCTTGCTGGGATAGGCTCCTGTGGTCACCCAAGGTTGGAGATATAGTTTCTTGTTCTGAAAGGCACATGGCTATTCTTCAACAAAAGCACATCATCCCAGACTCTAAAGTCTAAAGGGCTTCTGTTTAAACAGTGGGCTGATGACAGGGGGCAAAACTACACACTATGAGCAGGTATAATTGCTGGCCAAAGTATTAAAAGTAGTAGGACCCCACCCCAGGAAGACATTCTTAGTGACAGTTGATTGTTGAGGTAGGGAACACAGACTTCCATCACAGTTCCTGGCCTGAGCAATCCCTGTATCATAATCCTATTGGAAAGTGGGGAGCAAGGAGCCCCTTCAGGAGCCACAGAGCAGCCCCAGACACCACCACCATCAGGAGCCCTGCTGATAGGGGACATGTTATACAGGCTTGTTATACAGTAGGAGTTCCTAATGTTTCCCATTGAGTGTTCATTGGGAAGCAAAGGCAGGAGGCTGGAAGCAGAGGAGAAAGTCAGGTGGGATTTATCTTGGTTTACCTTGGCAACACCCTTGATTGTGTGAGGGCATAATCTGAACACCACGTGATTTTCCAGCTCTTGGGAGAATGGCAAGACTCGCAACACAGATCATGGGATTCTGTGCTTTACCTTTGTCAAAACCCCACACAAACACATTTCAACAACTAACAGATAGCCACTCTTCACTGGTGGGATTCTTTTGAAAAAGAGCATCTTATTGAGCAATGATTCAAATAATGCATCTACAGAACTGTTAAGATTCAGAGTCTAGTCCCAGATTTTTACAATTGTTATGGGAAAGCTTAAAACTGCCCTTTCTAACTCCTGCCACATTTCTGTCCTGCTGATGCTTTTTGAAATAAATGACAGTTTGTCTTGTGAGCACTACTCACATTTGCACCTGAAATACCCAGCAAAATACAATACCCAGTCACCACAATACAACAAAGCCTGCAACCTGTAAAACCTGAAATGGATCAAGCTACTATACAATGGGAGCCTTATCTAGTGCCCTGTTATCTCGGAACGGGACAGCCCTTAATTACTCCCCAGTGAGATCTTAATCAATTGCTCCAAAAACAGGTAATGCAATCCCTGATGTGATAATTTGTTCAATCAAAGCATTAAGATCAGAGGCAAAATAAAAGCAGGTGATCCTACCGCCCTTAAGGAGTGAAACCAAAACTGCCCCTCCCCACTAAAAAACTGAGCATGGCAGGATGCCCAGGTTTGGAATGGTGTCACTGGATTATAATAGAGAAGCACAAGAAAGGAAGAATGACAGACACAAAAATAAATCGTTCCAGCCTTTTCGTCTTTCGATTGAATATATAGACCACACAAAAAAAAAATATCTAGTTGAATTAGG